TAGCCAGCCCCGTTGTCTGTGATAGTGAGCCCGAGAGCCTCCTCCGACTTGAACACTTCCACTTCCTTGCGTTGCCCCTTGACGTGGGCGAAGATGAAGTCCTCCAGCCCGATCTGTCCCCCCAGCAGCTTGTCCATGTCCACTTTGTGGGTGTTGAGGGTGCAGAACATCACCTACGAGGATGGGGTAGGGGGCAGGGAGATGCACTCAACCTTCCCTCCCCTTCCTGCAGGGTGCAGGGGTCTCTGCCCCACGGGCTGACCACCGTGAGCCAGGGCAGACACCACCTGGACGGCACTTCTGCTGGGACCAGGAATTTTGTCCTCTGCTGTTGTTTCCAGGACAGTGCATGGTGCACAGTGGGTGCTCCGTACATGTTGGTGGGAATGAAGACAGAGGGCACAGATTCCTGCCCCACTGAGACCTTTGTCCCCCCCATTGATACAGCCTGCTCAATCCCTCCCTTCAGCTTCCACAATCCACTAGGCTCCAGCCTGCTCCCCCTCCACCCCACCCAGGGGCATGCCAGGAACTGGGTATCTGGTCTTGACTTCCCATGCCCATCGCCATCATAGCGCCACCAAGGTGTCAGCCTGCCCTTCGAACAAGGGGAAACACACACATACAAACACACACAGAGTGTCATGGATTGAGTCCATCCTAACTCACAGTGACCCTACAGGGTTGGGTAGAACTGCCCCTGCGGGTTTCGGAGACTGTTACTCTTTAAGGAGTCGAAAGACCAGACTCATCTTTCTCTCTCGGAGCGGTGGCTGGTGGTTTGGAACTGCAGACCTTGGGGTTAGCAGCCCCCAAATTCCTGGTCCCAGCATCCCCACTGGACCCAGGCCTCCCAGGGCCTGATGGGAAACTCAGCATCTCTCCCCCGCCCTCTAATTTCCCATAACCCAACTGTGGCTTCAGCCCTCTCGGCCTCCGAGGCTCAGCTGGAGAGCAGACGGGGCCCAGGCCGCCCCCCGCGGTACCTCGGCCGCTGGCAGTCGGAAGGCCTCCGCGATCTTGCCGTACAGCTCCTTGACGTTGGTGAAGCCCTCGATGCGGCCGGTGGGGCTGCCGTGGGCCAGCTGGGTGTGGAAAACGAGGCGGGGCCGCAGGGCTGGGGGAGGGGGCGGCAGGCCCATCTGGGGGCCCCCTACCCCAGACCCGCCCAGGAGCCCTGGCTCGCCCACGCCCAGCCCGCCCCGGCCCGGCTCGGCCTCCTCATTTTCCACCAGAGGCGGTGCCTTTTTCCGCCGCCCGAGTCCCAGTGGCATGAGCGGCGAGCAGAGGGCGCGGGCTCCGGAGAACTGCGGGGAGGAGAGCGGGCTCAGAGCCTGGCTGGCCGGGGGCCTGGGCCGCCCCTGCCCCACTCCCCACGCGACGAGCTCACAACGAAGTGTTTCCGTTGAAGAGGCTGGCCTCGCTTCCAATCCTCGGGCAGAAATAACTCTCACACTCCCTGCCGAAGAGTGGAATCCCACCCATAGCGACCCTATAGGGCAGGGCAGAACTGCCCCGGTGGGTTTCTGAGATGGTAAAGCTTTATGGGAGTAGAAAGCCCTGTCTTTCTCCCGAAGACCGGCAGGTGGTTTCCAACTGTTGGCCTTGCAGTTGGCAACCCAGCGTGAAAATGACTCTGCCATCAGCCTACATAATAGGTGCAATGAACCCCGTGACCCTCCTGTACAAACTGTCCCAATGCCCACCACACTGACCGTGGGCAGACACCACAGAATGCTATGGTTATGCTCACTGGACAGGTGAAGGACCGGAGGCTTAAAGAGGTGACATTTCTCTCTCCCCACCTGTGGCCATCATGACTGCTAACAGCCCTGGCTCTGCTCCTCTTTCTAAGCCCAGGGGCTGGTGCCACTTTTCAAGCCCCTTGTGAATGAGTGGGCATGTGACCAGTTCTGGCCAATGAGTTGTGAGCGGAAGGGGCACCATGTGACACTTCCGGATTGAAGCATTGTCAGTGGTGCCACAAGGGCCTCTGGACCCTTTCCTGGCAGAGTGACCAGCTACATTTGATACGGTCGGTGGTTGCTCCCCTGGGCTGAGTCCCTGGGTAATTCCATTTGATAGAGCCTCTGGTGAGCTGTAACCAGCATGGAGAGGGAAAGAGAGATTGCCTTTTGTCGGGCGCAGCTACTAAGATGTTTGGGGTTGATTGTTACCGCAGCAAAATCTGTTCTGACTGAGAGGCTTTCCCACCCCCCCCAACCCCCCCCTTCATCCTTCTTCCTTCTCTCCACCTCCCCTCAGTCATTCCTCACTACATTCCAAGCATCATTTTAGGATGTTGGAGACGCTGCCTTCAATAAGCCAAGTAAGGCCCCTGCCTAAGCCGGCGGGTGCAGTTAGAGGTTGATCACCATGCAAAAGCAGCAGACCCATGTTCTGTATCCTACTTTGGTGGGCCGAAAAGCTCGCTGAGCGGCCAGGTAAGGTGCAACTATCGGTCTCTCCCTGTCCAGAGGAAAGAAAAGTGATGAAAATCGAAGGCACAGTGAACTAATGGACTATTCGATCCAAAGTCTCCACCACCCCAACCCCAGAAGAACTAGATGGTGTCTACCAATACCAGCTGTTCTGAAGAGGATCACATTTGAAAGTCCTCGATGGACCAGGCTTACTGGTCAGACAGAGACTGTGGGACCCCCCACAAGGCAATGGCCCTTCATCACCTTTCAGGCCTGGAAATGAACTCACCCCAAGGCTTAATTTCCAGCCAATCATGTCCCTAAGGGGAACAGTAACACTAGCGATGTACACACATAGGAGAACAATCAACCACTGGTGAGCCAAAGGGTAGTTCTCAGCCCAGGACAAAGTCAATTTGGAAAAAGGCGGAGTAGATTGTGGAAACAGGGAGGACGTGAGATGAGGGATGTGACATTGTGGGGATGGCAGTCAATTGTGGGGGGAGGTCAGATGCTAGCAGGCATCTCCCCTGAAGGCGATCAGTTGCCAGACTGCAGTGGGCCCCGCTCCCTGCTGTTAGACAATGGACAGGCCAGCAGTCATCTATTTGGTTCCTGTAGGTGGGGTTTACACCCTACTGATAATGGTTCCTATGGAGACCCAGAGAACAGGTCAAAGTTAAGCTGCCACCCTAAAATCTAGGATCCTCCCATCTTGCCACATGTATACCCCCAATCCCTCCTCTTCCTATTGCGTGTATGTCCCTACATTGTCCCCCTCTCGTTGCTGTATAACCTATAGTGCAATCCCTTCCTGTGACGTATGACTTTACCTATAATTATGGGCTTGCACGCCCCAAAAGGTATACAGTATAGGCCTGGGCTAGCAATAGAGATCTCTCTCGCTGGGCTCCTCCTCCTCTCTTCCCCGTCCTCCTTCCATTCCCCCTCTCTCCACGTGGACCACCAAGCAGGACTGAGGTGAGCAATGCTACCATGTAATGTGTCTGACTGCATTACTATAATATCTCTTCTATTGCTCATGCTCTCGATGACTTTAATATAATATTTATATATCTCAACCGTACAATTGTGCTTACTGAACCCATGGATAGTGGTGGGGGGCTACGCCCCAAACTGTATACTACAGTCAATGAGATGAAACAACATGTGTATGAATTGTTGAATGGAAAACCGATCTGCCCTGTAAGCCTTCACCCAATTCACAATAAAAACGGTTAACAACCAGCCAACTGCATCAGACCTGGCAGCAGTTCTGCTGCGCAAGCCACATCCCCTGGTTGGGGTGATCTGCGAGGAGGCAGAGCTCCCTTCTCCTACGTCACTCCCAAGTGCTGGACAGGCTAGCTGCGCTCTGTCTAACCTGCTGGACACACGCATGTGAGAACGCATGCATGTGAGCAAAGGCTGGAGAACACACGCATGTGAGCAAAGGCTGGAGGTAGAGAGATGCTGTGCAAAGACCCTGGGGTGGGGATGTGTCTGAGGAACGGCAAGGAAGCCTGGGCAGCTAGAGCAGAGGAAGAGAAGGCGCAAAGGAGTGGAGCGGAGGGAAGGGTGGGGAAGTGATGAGATGGCTAGAGGATTTGGTTTTTGCGTTGAGTGCAGAAGGAGCTGAAGAACAGAGGAGGGCCCTTGGCTGACCGGTGCCTCTTGGCTGACCAAGCAGTGAGGAGATCAGACTGCGGGGTGTAAGCGAGGGGTGGGGCGTGGGAAGGCGGTCCAAGAAGGGCCTGGACACAAAGGACCTTGTAGAGTGGGGTGAAGATACAGATTTCATTTCAAGTCATAGGTCCAAGACACAAGGAGCCCCGGTGGTGTGCTGGATGAGTTGGGCTGCTAACTGCAAGGGTCAGTAGTTTGAACTCACCAGCTACTCTGCAGGAGAAAGATGAGGCTTTCTGCTCCCATAAAGACTGACAGCCTTGGAAACGCAAAAGAGCAGTTCTACTCTGTCCCACAGGGTATCCACGAGTAGTCCTATTGACTCGGAGGCAATGTGTTTGGCCCGAGATCCAGAACCCAGTCACATTCCCAGGTCTTCTCAAATTCCCAAGTCCCAGCTTGCAGCCATAAAGCTGTCCCTCACGTGACTTGATCTCCCAGGGGCCTCAGCTGTCTGTATATGGGAGATAGAGCCTGTGCCTCGCTGGGCCCTGGTGAAAATCAAATTATATGGAAATTCTGAGGGTAAGTCAAAAAGTACTGCTAGAGAATCTCAGAATCCTTTATTAGGCAAAAATATCGGCAACATAGCTTCCATCTAGTTCCAAATACTACTTCTGAAGGTGATGTTACCATCGTTCTAACCCTACCCCAAAAGATTTCTGGGCTCTTCCACTGATGCCATGTCAAGACAGCAGTTTGGACATCCTCAAGGGACTCAAATCGTGGTCCTCTGAAATGTTGAGTTTGGGGAACAATACGAAGCCAGGCGGGGCAAGATCAGGACTGTACAGGGGATGGGCTAAGCGTACCCAAAGCAATTCTGGTGGGAGGTGGCACAGCCCGAGCTAACCTCAAGAATGAGCAGGTGCTCTGTCCGAAGGGGAGTGGTGGTGGGGAGTGGGGGGGCTCTTGGTGCATCTTTCCTGAACCTTATTGCCCCCTGTGCAGTTTTTGATTTCCTTAAAACCTCTTAATTATAAGTTACCACCCCACCCAAGATAATCTTGTGCCTTCGAGAAACTCTATCCAGATGATCCCACTGGGATCTCAGAAGTGGCCGCCATAACTTCAGGGCTGACCTCTCCGTCCCTCGAAGTGAACTGGCCAAGCGGATCCCATCAGAAGCCAGCTCTGACTGGATCTCTCTTGCTGTTGTTGAAGGCACCCCCCCATGACTCTCCAGTGATGACTGAGACATGTCCAAACATGTTTTGTTTGGACTAAACCTGTGCACATGAGAACTGGAAACCCAGCAACAATACTTTTGGACTTCTCTATGACAGGGACTATCTGTACCCCCACTCCCCCCACCCCTTCAACATGCCTCTTTCCAGAGTCTGCCCCGGATTTACTCGTGCAATTACCCATCATCCACCATCTGTCTCTGCTTTTGTTAGTTGATTCATTTGTCCTCTAACACCACCTCCCACCTAACACCTGCTCACCTAGACTAGTGTAGTGACTGCCTCCTGGTCTCCCCACCCCCAGGCTGGTCAATGCAGCAGCCAGAATGAGCCAGTGAAATATCAGTCAGGATATGCCCCTTCTCTACCCAGAACCCTCCTCTCACTGGAGGTAAAAGTCAGACCCTCCCTCCTCTTGACCCACAAGGCCCTGCCCCCATCACCTCCCTGCCTTTATCTTCCACTCTCTTTCTGGCTCACCCTGCTCTGGCCACAAGGACTTCCTTGGCACCTTCTGCATGAAGAAGGGGCATATAGCCAACTGGGCTGGGCTGAGTCCAGCATGACCTCAGGGTTTTTTGGACTGTCTGTTCCCATGAGAGCCACAAGACTGCCTTATTATTTGTCTGTCGCCTCTCGAGCCTTTTTGCACACAGTAGTGCCTGACTCAGCAGTTGTGCAACATATATTTGATGAATGGCTGAATGACCCTAACTCTCTCTAGTCCACTCATTTCTGTGCTTAGCTCTCACTCGCTCGCTCGCTCGCTCGCTGCCATGAAGATGAGGCCAAATAATCGCGAGCCTATCAGGCAGGGGAGCACTGTGGGTCTCCGAGACGGTAGCTCTCTATGGGAGTAGAAATCATCATCTTTCTCCTATGTCTGCCTCTAGGGCGATCAAAGGTAGTCTTTACCCTCAGGAGGAGCTTGTTTCCCCTGGAGAAGTCTAAGACCACTTCTGAGGCTCCGCCCCCTTGCTTCCCAGCACAGCACTGGGCACATGGTAGGTGCTGTGCCGCCAGCGAGCGCCTCACTGAGGCAGAGAAAGAGGTCCCTTCAATGCCGTGTTTTTGCCTTTCAGGCCCCCAATCATCGAAAGTGTCAAGTGCTTTTCTATATATTACCAGCTGCTTGGATTTGCTCTTTTGTGTACATCCACGTTAGTCTTTCTCTTCTTGGTTAGTGGGCTCTCTCTATATTCTGGATACTAGTCTTTCGTGAATTCTCTCACCGCTCTATCCATAGCACCCATGACAGGCCCTGGAGTGAGGAAGCACTCACTGAATAGTTCATTAAAAACAACAACAACAACAACAAATGAAATTCCAATGAGTTTCTAATGAAAACACAACAGTACTGCTCCTTCATTTAACGTTACCTCCCAGGGACGGATTCCTGCGAATTTAACCCTATGCAGATGTTTTGTGTTGAAAAAGAAATATTACAATCCTTGGCTCTGGGGAAAAATAAAGTTACCTCCTCACACTCAGTGATGCAAAACAAAAACACACAAGCTAGCTACAGGGACGCAGGAGGCTTTGATGGCGGGTCTAGAATCCAACTTCCCTTCTTACTGGCTGTGTGACCCTGACCAAGGGGCTCAACTTCTCTGAGTGCGCAGGAAATCACGTGTGCCTGGATCAGTTCCTGGCACAAAGTGATGACTTCCGAAACTCGGTGACAAGGGTCAAGGGTCACTATTCCCATTCCCAGTCGGGGGTCAAGATTCAAACATCCTCAGTTTTTCCCTGGCCTCCCACCTCCCG